AAACAGTCGTTTAGTACAGCTTTTTAGACAGTAGAACATTTCCATTCCATAAAGGACAGCAGTGTGGAAGAAAAAAAACATGGTGGAAAAAATGCATTGATATAGAAGTTCAGAGCATTAATATATACAGTGTAAATATGCAGTATTTTTGGTTTGGTGTTATCAGTGGGATGCAGAGTCTGTGACATGATTTAGAGATTTTTTTCAACAGTTAATCTATGTGATGGCAGTGGGAAAGAAGCTGTTGTAGAATCTGCTGGACCTGCATTGAATGCTGGGAAAACTCTTCCCAGAGGACAGCAGGGATAACAGTCCATGGTAGCGGGGTGAGGGGTCACTGATAATATTACAGGTTTGGGACTCGCAGCGCTGGGATGAAATGTCTTTTATCAAAGGAAGAGGAGCCCTGATGAGCCTCTCTGCTGTTCTCACTACTCTTCTCACTTTCTTCCAGTCTGAGGCGCTGCAGCCTCCACATCACACAGTGAGACGGCTGATCAGAATGCTCACTGTGATGCTTCTATAGAAAGTCGTGAGGAAGGATGGAGGAAGGTGGGCTCTCTTAATCCCCAGCAGGGAGTACATGCACTTTTGTGCCCTTTCGACCAGTGAGGTGGTGTTTACATTCCAGGTGAGGGTGTCTGTGATGTGCACCCCCAGGTATTTGGTGCTGTTGACCACCTCTTCAGCTGAGCTGTCGATGACCAGTGGAACGTGGTTAGGCCGGTTCTTCCTGAAGTTGACAATGATCTCCTTCGTCTTCTCAACGTTCAGGATCAGGCTGTTATCTTTGCACCAGTCCACCAGCTGCTCCACCTCCTCTCCGTAGTCCTGGTTGTTGTCGTCTCTGATGAGGCCCACCACTGTGGTGTCGTCTGCAAACTTCACAATGTGATTGGTGGTGAACCTGGGGACACAGTCGTGTGTCATCAGAGTAAACAGCAGGGGGCTCAGGACGCCCTGAGGGGAGCGTGTACTTAGGGTGATGAAATCATAGATATAAGAACCAAACACTCTGGATGAGCTAAAGGCCGCTATCGAAGCATCCTGGGCCTCCATAACACCTCAGCAGTGCCACAGGCTGATTGCCACGCCAGGCTCCATGCCACGCCGCATTGAAGCAGTCAATTCTGCAAAAGGATTCCCCACCAAGTACTGAGTGCATAACTGTACATGATTATTTGAAGGTTGACTTTTTTGTATTAATGTAACCGGGTGGTCTAGTGGGTGTAAATTCCCACCCGTTTTGGGTCCTTG